CTACAGAGTGAGTTCCAGGACAGCCCGGGCTATACAGAGAAACCCTGTCTCGAAAAACCAAAATAAATAAATAAATAAATAAATAAGCCAACTCCCTTATTTGCCGGGCGGTGGTGGCGCACGCCTTTAATCCAGCACTTGGGAGGCAGAGGCAGGCGGATTTCTGAGTTCGAGTCCAGCCTGGTCTACAAAGTGAGTTCCAGGACAGTCAGGACTACACAGAGAAACCCTGTCTCAAAAAATAAAATAAAAATAAAATAAAATAAAATAAATAAAATAAAATGTTAACAGGGTCATTGTGTCAATGTGTTTTATACTGTCAGTGTAAGGCAGGATCTTCACCTGTCAAGTACTAAGAGCTGAGGTGGTAGAGGGCCTCAAGTGTAACTTTAATTTTTTTTTAAACCTTACATTTAGTGATGATATTTCAACATTTTAACCTTCCTTGTAACCTATCACCCACCAGAGGTAGTGGAAAAGAAAGGATACGGGGGAAGTGGGCCTGTTTAGAAAGGTTCTTTGGAGCAACTCTTGTCTATGTTGTCTGGAAATTGGCAGTTCAGTTCACAGGTTAGCAGGCAGCAGCAGCTTGATCCACTCGCACACACCTCACGGATACACCAGCCGTCCAGCTGGGTAGAGTCAGGATAGCAACAGCGGTGACAGGATCTACCAGAGACAGCCAGGCTTCAGGCTCAGCTCGAGTCAGCAGGAGGGACCAACAGGAACAGCAGGAGAAGTTCTCAGCTGTGCCTCTCTCAGGGAAGCAAAGATCAGGAAAGACACAAGACCTACAAGTGTTGCACAGCTAGCTGTACCAACAAGCCAAGTTCTGTCTCCATCCATCTGTCCATCTGTGGAGTCCTATTTATACCCTCCAGACATCAAGCAACCTCCTCGTGACTTCCCCAGCACATGCACCCAATCAGCCCAAGAATCCGTGAAAGCCGCAACAAACTTCAGTGTGTTCCTCTCCATGGAGTCCAGACAAATGCAGCTCAACTATGCATTGTAAGGCAGAACAATACATGCATGTCAATAGCAAAGAATTCCTCATCACGTGTCCTTTCACATGCTTGCTTTAGCAGAACATCCTCTCTCCTGTGTCTGCTTCAGCCAAATGTTCCTTCACAAGTCTGCCTGAGCCTTTCCCACCTGAGTCCACTTTCATGTGTTTGCCCCAGCCAAACACCATCCAACCGACTTTCCAAAGAACCCTTAGGTTTCCACTTCACTCAAGACATTTTTTTTGAAAGATCAGTTAAATGACAATGCGTACAGACTTTCTGTTCATGTATGAAGCTGTAAACTATTCAACAGACCTTCA